ATTACGTACAAATGAATTTTAATTTTAAACTTTAATAACATCGTATTTCTATATTTTATGGCGAGGTGTAGGCAGCATGACCTTAACTAAGACGTCACAGGCTGCCCCAGTTTGATGAGGTCGTAAAATGATTCACAATGCATCTGGCTCACTGGTTACACCTGTTCTGTAACGCACAATGTGATTGATATAATATCAATTCCGTACCAGACCGCCAAACGTTTCTAGCGGCAGCGCCTCGTTTTGAAATTTCCAGATTTCTGTTTGTCAGAGCAAGCTGTACGACAGAGCTCGCTGCACGACGTTTGCAAGGATTAGATGGAACGTAGTGTTGCAAAAAACAAGTGCTTAGATGTATCAAATAATACTGATTAATATTTATGTATCCAGTTACATGAATTGGTCTCAAAATTCGGGATGGGTATTGTACTATGTTGCGCAATAGGACAAAACCTAGTCAACAGGAAACGAGACTGTTGTGTATTCAATGTTTTGACTTGAAACACAGTTGTGATAGACAAAAACAAATATATACATGTATAATATAAAACAAATTGTGGCATATGTCATAACAAGGACCACTTTTTCAGTAAGGGGCGGTGGGACAGCCTAGTGGTTAAAGGGTTGGCTCGTCACGCCGAAGACCCGGGTTCGATTCCCCATATGGGTACAATGTGTGAAGCCCTTTTCTGGTGTTCCCCGCCGTGATATTGTTGGAATATTGCTAAAAAAGCGGCGTAAAACCATACTCACTCACACACTCACTTCAGTCAAAAAGTTAGATAAGGAATCAAGGCGAAGATTCGTTCAGGCCAGGTGACAGGACACTGGGCGAGGCTCTTGTCTTGACAGTTATGCTAACATGTTTCACACATTACTATGTGTATAACAGTTTCGTGTATCAATGACAGGTTTCTTCATTCCATAACATACAGTATTTCCTCAAATAAGCGCCCTTGACCTTATTCTTCACAATCCTCCAAACATCGGTGGTTAATGGAGGCTAGACGGTAAACAGACACCAAGTCATTAATACATTAACTACGGTGTACATAAACCTCAGTCAGATTACATCGACATGCAAAAGTATTTCATGTTGCCGATTATTTATTGTTTATTTAAAAAGTAGAGCGACCCTGAGCACAGAAATGGCAAATGGGTAGTCCCCTAAAGGCGAGAAATTTATGCAAGTCAGCTTCTTTATTAATAATTACGGAATGCATTGAGAACAGGAATTACTTTAAAACAGTAAGAAACGCGAGGAGACGTATTATCTAAATCTGAAATAGTGGCCTTTATAATCCTGTTCATGCATGATGGCTTATTCATCTTAATCAAATCGTATCTGCATATTGTTTAGCTGGAGCACTGCATAGATTTTGTTTATTCCAGGGAGAATATAATGTTGTACGCAGTTTCGTAACCAACAATGCCAATGCAATTTTAAGATTTAACTCACTCAATCGCATTATCAAAGCTGCGTTCCACATCTCCACACAGGAAGGAACTGCAGAGGTACAGATCGATAAGCTCCGTATCTGCGTAAATTACGCAAATATTTATGTGAAAACTCAATTCCTATTAAGGCTATTGCGTACAAGTACGCTTTAATTTTTGTAAATACACAAAAAATGTGCTCTTACATGCGTACACACAAAAATGTCAAATCTTAGCTGGCGTACCGGTGGATAGATAAAATAATTGTGGTATATTTAGAGATTCTATTTCACGACATGAACTTGGCAACTTGCAGTCTTTCTTATCGTTTCTCACATTACAGATCAAACATAAATAACAAACAGTAACATTTAAACTTTATTGTATTCTTAAATTTAATTGAAATGGCAAAATGCCCAATTGAGTTTCAGTGAGATGAGTACAATTTATTTGGTTACTCAAAGGAAAATTAGGATTCCCAATTGAGATGAACACAAGCGAGTACATAACTCAATGACCCCAAAAGTTATCTGTAGCTCTGCAGGAACCGTAAGAGATTAAGAGATCTGCACTCCAGTGAGACTGGTACGGATTCAGAATAGACTTAATGTTATTATTAATCTGATAATTTTGCTGTAAAATATTGCGAAACGTTAGCAAGTACAACAGGTGTATGTTACATGTACTGTTTCTTTGTTTAGGGCCTCACGGAACAAAACACTTTGAAAAAGTTCGAAATGACCACTGTAGCAGGAGCGAATGACCATCGTTGACTAGGGGTGGGTATTGCAGAGAATTTTCACATTGCGATATATTGCGATGCGAAAGCATATATTGCGATATGTATTGCAATATATTGCATGAAGTATTCTTAAACGAAAAACTACTTATAATCGAGTCAATGCTTGATTTATAAAGCTAAAACACAACAAAATCACTACGCTTGATTATGCTTTAACAACAACTTTCAGTCATAACAAAATAAAAATGTAAATAATATTTGGCACAAATGAAACAAGGAAATATCCGAAGATTTCCGAGTGTTACGAAGTTTTCCGAATGCAAGTCAAAATACCGGTTTTCGATCAGCGTATAGCAATACGTATCGTTTTCATGTCTGAACCGGTAAACCGGTTATATTGCGCAGCCCTATCGTTGACATAAACGGTCAATATGTGACAGTAACAACCCATTCTGCTATTGGATACTCAGGTATGTGATACCGTGGGTACAAATACTGAGCTGTATCACAGGAAAATACAGACGCTTCCCATCACAAACCACGAAATGGATGACAAATGTTGTTTCACCTCACGCTTTTTCTTCAGACCAAACATATCGATACAACTCGATAAAAATAATAAATAAAACTTCGAGGCTTGGATATTAGTATTAAACATTATGCAGTATGTATCGTGTGTAACGAATCTACATCTGATGCTTACCTAACACTCTCCGTACATACGTACTTTGAATTGATAACTGATTGTTAATTGATTGTAAACATTTCTAATATTGACTGATTATGTGAGGTGAGGTGAAATTGGGTTTTACGTCGCACTTGAGAATATTTCGCTCATATGACGACGTGCATGTGCGGCTGCTTGTACTAGCCCAGACTTAAGCTGGTTTTATAGTGCTAGCCCACTGAGATACCATGCCGCATGAATACCCCACTCAGACACATTATACTGACTCCGAGCCGACCAGTCCTTGTTGTACCCATTAATGCCGAGCGCCAGGCAGGGACCAACAAGTACCATATTTTAACGTCTTTTGGTATGACGCAACCGGGGATCGAACCCGCGACCTTCCGCTCTCCGGGCGGACGCTCTAACCACTACACCACGGAGGCGGTCGACTGATTATGTACATCATTCAGAGGCTATGTAATAAACTCGTCGTATATCTACTCGGGTCTTGTGAGTGTGTTGTGAGTGGCTTGGTATAGTGGAACCTCCAGCCAAGCGAGCTAATTCCCTACACTCGCGTTTTAATATTAGGAAGGAAGAGATCGTACATGCATAAATGAGTACCGGAATTCGTTGGGACAGAAACAGAAACATTATGACAATATGTGGGTTGTTATTTTTCCTTGCAGCCAAGGCAAACAGTTGTAAATCAGTAAAACCGTTAAGGCTGTGTGTGATATTGATTCAGTCATGGCGACGCGATTGAAACTATACATGTACTAAGTTGTGTTGAATGAACCAGAGCATAGAAAATCATCTTTTAAATTTGTACTCCCCTAATTCCAGCCGATACTCCTCCCTTGCTTACTCAAAAAAACTAATGAGCACGTTTATATGCAACGAAAAGCCGCACGGATCTCTACAAATATGAGAAAATGGTACCCATTGTTATATCTGACGTTTGCTTTTTTTTACATTTCAAACAATAGCGGGGCGTGACATCACGGGGAGGCTTGGCATTGACGACCGAGACCATTTGTCACTTCATTATAAAAGTGTGTGAAATATTCAGGGATTCGTGTCAAGAAGCTGAGTTTGAATTATACCTGGTTTATAGGCGCAACATAACCGACATCAGCGGGTGGCCAATTATTACGTACAAACATGGCGGACCGATTGTTGACGACAAATTTACGCGGGAGATCAAAGTGTCATAACTCGTTGAATATAAACAGGCTTACCTCAATATTTTGTGATGTGTCCCTTGTTCCTTATTATTTTCAACATCCGCCTCGGAATTGATGAATAAAGATTTCTGATGAAATCCAGGGGAATATCTTCCCAGATGTCCCGCACTTCAGCCGACTGAATGTTTCTTCGGCGTCCCTGAAGTCTATTCTTCAGGTCAGGTAGAGCCAACAGTTCTCAATAATATTTGCGTCTGGACTCTGTGCAGGCCACAACATTTCAGTAATGTCATTTTGTCGCTTGAAATCCTGAACGACACAGGCCCGATATACAGAGGCGTTGTCATCTTGGAAGATGTACCGGTTTCCCGGAAAATGTCTGGCTATAACGGGCCAAAGCATATCCTCGAGGATTTCTGTGTATTTCTGAGCATTTATATGCTGCCATTAACAACACGAATGGTACCAACACCATGCCAGGTGATACAACCCCACGCCATCAAACTGACGCGTGGCTGTCGTCCCGGACAAAGACATTGTGGGAGGTATTGTTTTCCCCAATGATAAGTTTACACTCGTCAGAGAAGATCACTCGAATCCAGTAATTATTCACTGTACGATACCGTTGCCCCCTTGCCCTGGCCAAACGATTTCTAACATTATGGTCACGAATTCGGATTTTCTTTCTAACAACACGTCTATGAAATTTATTTTCATATAATCGTCTCCTTACAGTCCTCGCCGATACACGTGTAGCCCTATTGTTGTTCAAATTCTCAGTTATTTCACCCAAAGGTGAAATCATATTGTCTCTGACCAACCTCAAAAGTTGTCGATTGTCCTGAGGAGTCATTTTTCTCATACGGCCTGTTCTGTGAGCATTCTCGACTGATCCACGTCGATTAAACTGCTTTACCACCGAATATACGCCAGAATATGTAGCAGACGGTAAATGGATAAAATAGAGTCACGTGACAGACACATGACATCATGGTCGATCATGTGACAAGATATTACGGCGATACGCGGTGTCGTTTTTGAGTAGCAGTATGTTAAAAACGGGCATCGCTATACACGATATCAACGCCGGTACAATTGTACGTAATAATATGGCCATGCGCTGTACATATGAACGCGATTTTCTACAATAAGTTCACTTCGGCGTTCGTTTATTTTCCGAAACATTATGACGTTTCATGATCATTGTGAATAGTTAAAACAAACAACAACGAAAATAAAAACCCGGATCACTAATATGGTTTCTTGAAATTTAATTCTCCAAATATATATTTAAATGTGTAAAAAATGGCGAGATTGACGATGTATGTAGTTTTCAGGGTTTTTTCCCCCTCTAATATGAGTGAACGACATCACAAAAGACGTAATTGCCCAGAGTAATTTCTGTGCATTTCTGTTCGTGATATATTTGAATATGAAATTACGACATCAAAGAGGGTTGTTGGGAAGGCCGCGTACCGATCCGTCGAATTTTTGATTTCAGAATGGTAAAATGCATTCGACGGATCGGCACTGTGATCTTAGCTATGAATTAGTTATCAAAACATTGGATCATACCAAAAACATGACGCAAGGGGTGTTGGGTGGTTTGACTCTGACGGTTTGAAATTCGACCGATTAGCGCAGAACCACTCAAGCATGATTCGACGGATCCGCACTGCTGGCTGTTCAAAATTCGACGGATTAGGCCGTAATGGTTGGGAAAGGTCATTTATTTTATCATTAGCAAACGCATTCACCCGTGGCTGGGCAAATCTAATTATGTATTCGCTCAAAAAAGATACTAATGGAATAGCAATCGACTCAAGCTGAATGTTATACAGTTTTGTTACACTGTTTGCACAAATAAATTAAGACCGTAGCAACACATTGTGTACATATACGTTTCTTGAAACAGCCACACCGTCAAAGGTGAAGTGAAATTGAGTTTAACGTCGTGCTTGCGAATATTTCGCTCATATGACGACGTGCATGCGTGTGTATGTGTATGTGCGGCTGCTTGTACTAGCCCAGACTTAAGCTGGCTTTATAGTGCTAGCCCACTGAGATACCATGCCGCAGTGAAGCATGAATACCCCACTCAGACACATTATACTGACTCCGAGCCGACCAGTCCGTGTTGTACCCATTAATGCCGAGCGCCAGGCAGGGACCAACAAGTACCATATTTTAACGTCTTTTGGTATGACGAGGCCGGGGATCGAACCCGCGACCTTCCGCTCTCCGGGCTGACGCTCTAACCACCACACCAAGAAGGCGGTCACACCGTCAGTGTCCTGCGGAACACCAAGACCGCTGACGGTCAGGCACAATGAGGTTTGAAGCAGTAAGCTGCGCATGGAGACACAAGAACACTTGTACCTAAACCACGTGAAATGGGTCTACTGAGGTCCAATGACGTCAATTGTTTTATCAATCAACACCGGTGACGTCATATTACAAGGGACATGAGTCAGTGTGTGTTTATTATGAAAATAGAGTTCACAATAACTGTGCAAAATATAAATCGATATAATACAATAAATAAATCAGTTTTTTGTGGCATATGTACTGTTTTGACTTTGAAACTACATGTATTAGAAAAATACCTTCGTGTAAAACTTGTCCTCAAAGCCTCTAGTCTGAACTGACGTAAGACAAAAAAGTAACAAAAATTAGTTTATTGCGAACTCGTCCAAATCATTATACATGATTCCTGGATACAACAACTACAACTAAAAACCAAAAACAAAAACAAGACAAACAATCCAAAGTAATGTACACTATCTATTGATTGCAGTGACGTACTTAGCACTGTCTATATAAACACAGGAAACCGTGACGTACTTAGCACTGTCTATATAAACACAGGAAACCGTGACGTACTAAGCACTGTCTATATAAACACAGGAAACCGTGACGTACTTAGCACTGTCTATATAAACACAGGAAACCGTGACGTACTAAGCACTGTCTATCTAAACACAGGAAACCGTGACGTTCTTAGCACTGTCTATATAAACACAGGAAACCGTGACGTACTTAGCACTGTCTATATAAACACAGGAAACCGTGACGAACTTAACACTGTCTATATAAACACAGGAAACCGTGACGTACTTAGCACTGTCTATATAAACACAGGAAACCGTGACGAACTTAGCACTGTCTATATAAACACAGGAAACCGTGACGTACTTAGCACTGTCTATATAAACACAGGAAACCGTGACGTACTTAGCACTGTCTATATAAACACAGGAAACCGTGACGCACTTAACACTGTCTATATAAACACAGGAAACCGTGACGAACTTAACACTGTCTATAAACACAGGAAACCGTAAACACAGGAAACCGTGACGCACTTAACACTGTCTATATAAACACAGGAAACCGTGACGAACTTAACACTGTCTATATAAACACAGGAAACCGTGACGAACTTAACACTGTCTATATAAACACAGGAAACCGTGACGAACTTAGCACTGTCTATATAAACACAGGAAACCGTGACGAACTTAGCACTGTCTATATAAACACAGGAAACCGTGACGAACTTAACACTGTCTATATAAACACAGGAAACCGTGACGAACTTAACACTGTCTATATAAACACAGGAAACCGTGACGAACTTAACACTGTCTATATAAACACAGGAAACCGTGACGCACTTAACACTGTCTATATAAACACAGGAAACCGTGACGAACTTAGCACTGTCTATATAAACACAGGAAACCGTGACGAACTTAGCACTGTCTATATCAACACAGGAAACCGTGACGAACTTAGCACTGTCTATATAAACACAGGAAACCGAGACGAACTTAACACTGTCTATATAAACACTGGAAACCGTGACGAACTTAACACTGTCCAGCCAAACACATTTTAAAAGCAGTGACGTACTTTGCACTATTTATCCAAACACGGGGTGGAAGCAGTGATCGCCGGACTTCACAGGGATGACGTAATTCACACATTCATCCCCCAAAGCCGTACAAAACACGCCCCTGTTTCTTCAAAGCGTACACAACGTCCATTGTGGTTACCGTCTTCCTCTTGGCGTATTCAGTGTACGTCACCACGTCACTGATAAGGTTTTCCAAAAACTTCTTCAATACAACTCTCACTTCCTCATAGACTGGTTTGGATATGCGCTTCACGCCCCCTCTTCTCGCCAGACGCCGGATGCTGTTTCGCGTGATGGCACCGATGTAGTCCGGGCTCAGGACCATCCTGTGTCTGGCGGACTCGATTAGGGTCACCTGCCCTCCCTTGACCAACTTTGCCTTTTGCCATTATCTTACGTTGTTGCTTGTCTGGAACAGTCCAATATTATTGAATTACAGGTGTGACGAGTCACTGACGGTTTGGTTGGTTGATCTGTTGTTTAATGCCGCACTCTTTAGCCATATTCCAGCTATATGGCGGCGGTCTGTAAATAATCGAGTCTGTGTGTGCGTCGCGCGTGCGTGTGTGTGTGTCTGTCTGTGGGAACGGGGTGGGTGCAAGGTTTTCAATTAACTCAAACTACTGGCAAACAAGGATAAGTTGGACCGGCGCAGAGACCGCGTTTACGAAAAGTATAGGCGGTGCACGGCATAGAGCAAACCCATTTGGTTTGTGAAAGGTAGAGCAGATGTAGGCTAATGCACGTGCATTACATGACGATGACATTGATTCCGCGCGTAGCCGCACACGCCTTGCGCCACCCATCGCACTACACTTGATCGCGGACAACCTGGGTCCCCTTCGTTAACAATGGCAAGCGCCAGTGGGCGGCACTCATACATGTATGCTAATACGGGTCAATTGTCAGGTCGGTGTCCAACTTATCTTTGTTCGCCAGTAAATAAAATAAACCACGGTTTTAACGAATACAAATGGACCACTAAATTTTCGACTAAAATAAACAGCAAAAGTCGTGACATACATCCTTCAGTTCGTGTTCGCTGGGGTAGTTTACTCCAATACATTTTGGTGGGTTTCTTTCCATCCCCTTGGAAGTTGTAACAGGTCTTCAACGAATGTCTTATTTTCATAGGGTGGTAAATATTTTCACGTACACAAATACGTAACGGTATCTTAGGCGCTTTTAAACAGGATGCTGTTATATAACGAGGTCGTTCTTCTTCAACCAAAGTTACTCATGTGGGACGCTCGCTAATACGCTCCTGTAATGTGTCTTCTTCATTTTAAGACGATCCCGGTTGGAACTGATCTTCAGCAAACCCATGCTTGTCGTAACCGAAGATCCGGGTTAGAGTTGATCTTCAGTAACCCATGCTTGTCGTTACCGAAGATCCGGTTAGAGTTGATCTTCAGTAACCCATGCTTGTCGTAACCGAAGATCCGGGTTAGAGTTGATCTTCAGTAACCCATGCTTGTCGTAACCGAAGATCCGGTTAGAGTTGATCTTCAGTTACCCATGCTTGTCGTTACCGAAGATCCGGTTAGAGTTGATCTTCAGTAACCCATGCTTGTCGTAACCGAAGATCCGGGTTAGAGTTGATCTTCAGTAACCCATGCTTGTCGTAACCGAAGATCCGGGTAAGAGTTGATCTTCAGTAACCCATGCTTGTCGTAACCGAAGATCCGGGTTAGAGTTGATCTTCAGTAACCCATGCTTGTCGTAACCGAAGATCCGGGTTAGAGTTGATCTTCAGTAACCCATGCTTTTGTAAGAGGCGACTAACGTGAGCGGTGGTCAGGCTCGCTGACTTGGTTGATACCAAAGACATATTATCCAAATTGCGTAGATCGATGTACATGCTGTTGATCACTGGATAATCTGGTCCATACTCGATTATTTACATACTACATTTATAGCATTATAGCTGGAATATTGCTGAGTGCAAACCAACCAGCCTGTTACGAATCACTCGCGCTGAACCAAACCATATCCCCTTCATGAATTGAATACAATATTCGTGGTCACAAGAATCGAATATTTACGACATATGTGGGTGGCTGTTCTTACTTGGACCTAGTTCGTTGTTTATCCAAGTGAGATATCACTGGAATGAATAGAATACATCCAAGCCGTGCAGTAACGTAACTTGTCTTATTTTGACTGACTGAGTACGGTTTTACGCCATTTTTAGCAATATTCC